TTGATGGTCTGGCTTGGATCAATGCATATTCGAAGTTTCCCGTTTGGCTTTTCTTTCACCAGGATGTTTGAGAGCCAGTCTGTGGGTTGTGTGACTAGTTTTATGATGCCCTCGTTAGAAAGTCTCTCTAACTCTTCATTTACTCTGTCCAGCTTCGCCACGGGAACTCGACGCACTTGGGCGTGCACTGGCCTGACATTGGGATCGAGCTTGATGTGCATGGGGGTTCCTCGAGGACTTCCACGCCTTGGCCTGAATACGCTCGAGTAGCACTGTAATACATCATCCTTCGTCAGCTTTCCTAGTGGTGGAGCTGGTTGCGGATTGTGCGAAATTTCTACTTCAACTGCGTTTGCTGTCTCGTCAGCGTACACCTTAAAGTAATTGAGGGCTTGTGCATCTCTTCCACTGAGAAGCGCTGGTTTCTCATCTGGAACGTTTACCACAAGGAAATCTATGGTGTGAATCCTGCCCCTTCTCTCGCAGCACAAGGTCACCTGGCCTTCAGGACGCATAGTTTCACTTCCATACGTGTTTATCTTGCTTCTGGTCCGACGAATTTCTGCGTTAGGAAATAGCTTTCTCAGAAGACTGCTGGGAATGGTATTGCAAGTGGATGCAGAGTCGATCTGCGCCTTCACGACTTTTGTTTTCTCTCCATGTATCAGGTGCAGATTCGCAAAATATTTTCTTGCAAACTGTGGGGTTGTATCGCACTCCGTAACGAAGGCTTCCTCGTTTGTGTCTTCGGAGACAAAATTGGATTGCTGCTGTCGAGCTTGTCTTCGTGTTCCACCCCTGCAGACGCGCGCGAAATGGCCAGTGATACCACACTTTCCACATTTTTTCCCCATTGCAGGGCAGTGTTGCTGACGGGGCTGTTGATGTTTCCCGCCACACCAAAAACACTGTGACAACTGGGGCGATTTGGTTGTGTAGTTAACCTGCTCCTGCTGTGTGTTTCTGGCTGTTTTCATTAGCTGATTCGCGAACGTGGTTGCCTCGAATGTTTTGGCGACTTTGTCCACTTCGCGTAGTTTGACCTTTGCCTTGAGTGGTTTTATGCCTGTATCCTTTCCCGATTAGCTTCACTCGAAGGGCATCCGACGTTAGGCCGGCGATAAATTGGTCCCTCAAGAGTTCGTCCGCAAAGTCTTGGTATTCGCATTGTGCCGCTTGATTTCGCCTTCTCGTCTCCCATGACGCGATCAACTCAATTTCTTGTCGCAGTAGGCGAAGGACCTTTTGTCCTTCCCCTAACACTCCAACACTAGCGCCATAATATTCTTTTAACGCATTGAGTGATTGACAAAACCGTGAGGTTTCTTCAAATCGGCTTCGCTTAAACCTATACTGTATTTATACACCGTTCTAGCCGCAGGAAACAGAGATGCCCTGAGGCATGCCATGGCTTTATCCAGCTTGGTCCACTTGGCTTCGTCGGTTTCTTTCGATGTATCGTACCAATTTTGCATTATGCAGTAATCTATCAAATCCTCGATGTAGGTTTCCAGGTCCTGCTTTTCGTCTCCCGTTGTTTTAAATTCCGGAAACGGTGTGTTTGAAGTCATCTTGAGCTATCTTGGTTTAAACCGCCTCCACCGCTGCCACCATGTTATTTACTCGGTTTAGGATATGGAAAACTGAACGTTTTAATTCAAATAACTGCCTAATTTATACAAATGTGCGGTGGTTGTGCTGTATGCTAATTACGTGGTTGTGCGTGCTGTGCAATAGGTGCTGGTGCGAAGGTGTGACATATTTACATGGTGTAACAATAGAAATTAAACCTTTTCACTGCATAAAAAGTATATACACATAGCTCTCTACTTTAGTAAGTTGTAAGGTATATAATTTTCATAAGCACGTCAAGTAATTAATTAGTTAATCAATTAAAACTAAACATAAGGCGCCTTTTGCACGTCTTCAATGCTAATTTTGGTATATTTACAGGTTCTTTTTGCTGCTGATTTAAAGAGATTTCAAGATATTCAGAGTGTTACTCCTGCCAACTTGAAGTCATCATCTGGTAAGGTAAGTACATTTACATTAAGTAACTGCTAGATGATTGTCAGAGTTGATCAGGGACAACTCTAGTTTATATAATCATCTTACAGGAACCTAGTCACTAGTAACAGCTTATTGATTTTTAAGATATTGGTTTCTGACGATCGAGGTACTAATTAACAAATTATACGGTGAGAAATACAATGTATATTTGTGATGGCAACAAGGTTTTTTTCTTTGGACATGTCAGGACTAATTTGAATAGTAAAAAGTTCACAATGAAAAGCTCATGGCATTGTAGTCATATCAGATGTTTTCTCTTGCATACAGTTGTATCATAAATTGTATCAACTCATGAATTTGAAAGCAGCATTTTATTAGTTACACAACTTGGTTGGATTACGAAATATCTTAGTGAAGATGCAACAGAAACTCAGATATTTGTGCATTTGCAACTAGCATTCTTGTTTGCGGGGACCCAAGTCCCACTGTAGTTCACCCTGACTTTCCTACTCCACTGTTACCCACTCCCCATGGACAAAGACCACAGGGGTTGAACTTTGGGAAAATATAGGGAATCTCTAAAAAGGGGAATCTAAAAAGGTTTTGAAATTTAACGTTTAGTGATTAGTACTGAGAGCTGATCTACAGATGCGATGTTTTTGCCTATTTTCTTGTGTTGTTACAACAGATATATCTACCAATCTACTGAGCGACTGTTGTGGTAAAAATGAACAGTCGATTGTTTTTCGCATTATTTGACTTGATGCTTGTTAAAAATTTCAGCCGGAACAGAATAGTACATCTTGTTGATGTAATGTTTGCACCAGTGCCCAG